AGACCTTGAATAGCCAAAGAAATTTTGAGAAGGAAGAATAAAGCAGGGGGAATTATGTTCCCCAACTTCAAGCTCTACTACAAAGCCACAGTAATCAAGACAATTTGGTACTGGCACAAGAACAGACCCATAGACCAATGGAACATATTAAAGAGCCCTGAGATAAACCCTCTATATGGTCAATTAATATACGATAAAGGAGCCAATGGATATACAATGGGGAAATGACAGCCTCTTCAACAGCTGGTGTTGGCAAAACTGGACAGCTACATGCAAGAGAGTGAAACTGGATTATTGTTTAACCCCACACACAAAAGTAAACTCAAAATGGATCAAAGACCTGAATGTAAGTCATGAAACCATAACACTCTTAGAAGACAATGTAGGCAAACATCTCCTGAATATAAGCATGAGTAACTTCTTCCTGAATGCATCTCCTCGAGCAACAGAAACAAAGGAAAAAATGAACTCATAGGACTACATCAAACTAAAAAGTTTCTGTATGGCAAGGGACACCATCAACCGAACAAAAAGGCATCCTACAGTACGGGAGAATACATTTGTAAATGACACATCCGACAAGGGGTTAACATCCAGAATATATAAGGAACTCACATACCACAACACCCAAAGAGCAAATAACCAAATTAGCAAATGGGTCGAGGCTATGAGGAGACAGTTCTCCAAAGAAGAAATTCAGATGGCCAACAGACACATGAAAAGATGCTCCACATCACTAATCATCAGGGAAATGCAAATTAAAACCACAGTGAGATATCACCTCACAGCAGTTAGGATGGCCAGCATGGAAAAGACTAATAACAACAAATGCAGGCGAGGATGCAGAGAACGGGGAACCCTCCTACACTGCTGGTGGCAATGTAAGCTAGTTCAACCATTGTGGAAAGCAATATGGAGGTTCCTCAAAAAACTAAAAATAGAAATACCATTTGACCTTGGAATCCCACTCCTTAGAATACACCCAAAGAATACAGCTTCTCAGATTGAAAAAGACATATGCACCCCCATGTTTATTGCAGCACTTTTTACAATAGCCAAGATACGGAAGCAACCAAGTGCCCATCAGTAGATGAATGGGTAAGGAAGAGGTCGTACATATACACAATGGAATACTATTTGGCCATAATAAAGAAACAAATCCTACCATTTGCAACAACATGGATGGAGCTGGAGGACATTATGCTCAGTGAAATAAGCCAGGCAGAGAAAGACAAATGCCAAATGATTTTCCTCATTTGTGGAGTATAACAATGAGGCAAAACTGAAAGAACAAAATGGCAGCAGATTCAAAGACTCCAAGAATGAACTAGTTGTTACCAAATGGGAGGGGTGTGGAAGGGTGAGTGGGGAGGGAGGGAGAAGGGGATTGAGAGGCATTATGTTTAGTACACATGGTGTGGGGATCACGGGGAGAACGGTGTAGCACAGAGAAGGCACAGAGAAGGATCTTTGGCAACTTGCTGCACTGATGGACAGTGACTGCACTGGGGTGTGGGTGGGGACTTGATAATATGGGTAAATGCAACCACATTGTGTTTTCATGTGAAACCTTCATAAGAGTGTATATCAATCATGCCTTAATAAAAAATTTAAAAAACAAAGAAAATAAGAAGACATGTCATAGACTGAGAGAAATATTTTCAAATCACGTATATGATAAAAGGTGTATCCATGATAGAAGGAGACTCTTAAAACTCAATAGTAAGGAAACAAAGAATCCAATTAGAAACTGGGTAGACGGGCTAAAAATGCAAAGAAGATACACGAAAGGCAAATGTAAAACTGCTCAACATCCTTAGTTACTAGGGAATTGTATATTAAAACAATGAGACACCAGTATAAAACTATTGGAATAGCTTTAAAAAAAAACCTGACCAATACCAAATGCTGATAAGAATGCAGAACTGGTAGTAATACAAGATGGTCCAGACAGTTGGAGGCCAGTTCGGCAATTTCTTACAAAGCTAAACATAGTCTTACTATATGATCCAGCAGTTGCGCTCTTAATTATTTACCCAATTGAGTTGAAAACTTCTATTTACACATCAACCTGCAGATGAGTATTTATGGCAGCTCTATTCATAATCACTAAAAATTGGATGTGACCAAGGTGTTTTCTATAGGTGAATGGATACGCAAGCTGCAGTACTTCCAGGCAATGGAATATTACTCAGGGACTAAAAAGCAGAGTGAGCTGTGAAGCCACAAAAAGATGGAGGAAACTTCAATGCATAGAAAGTGAAAGAAGTCAGTCTGAAAAGGCTATATAGTATACAATTCCAACTATGTGACATTCTGGAAAAGGCAAAACTAGAGACAGTAAAAAGTTGCTGGAAATTCAGGGAGAAATTCAGGAAGGGTTGAAAGGGGATTTCATAGGGCCATGAAAATATTCTGTATGATACTGTAATGGTGGCTACATGGCATTGTGCATTTATTAAAGCCCATAGGACTTCATAGTATGAAGAGTGAACTTTATCATGTGCAAAGAAACATTTAGGAGGTTGAAGGATCACAGGAAAAGATTATGACAAGAGAATCTAACTATATTTCAATTATTGAAACAACCTTCCCAAAGTGGTGAGTGAGGGTTGGGGCAAAAGGTGCTGACCTAACTTTGGAAATGAATCTGTAAGACTGAACACAAAAGGAATTACATATAATTATTGTACCGTAGTTAATGAAGTTGTTTCTCGTGGGAGTAGAGGTTGAAAATTTTGAAACCTCCATGCATATATTCTCAAACTCAACAATTAAGTAAAAGGATGAGAGATGATGAGTGCCAGATTTTTCCTTGCTGGAACAGGAATTTATAGAAAAGCAAGGGAAAGAAGCTAGAATGCATCCTTGTGATAATAGATTAGAGATGGAAACATCAGTGTGAACTCATATTTAGCCTATTATAGACACAGATGCTTACACAGAAAAATATTATATGTATTCACACAGGTTACTATACACACATATATTTACTTGCTCTGTTAGCATAGGGCCTAAAAGAAATGACACCCCAGTAGCAAAAAGTACTCCTAGCCACCAGATCTTTGTTTCTAATATCATTCTCCAATAATAGAAATCATAGATCCTTGAAGAAATGGCCAATTCTAGAACTTGGGTAGGAAATATGTAATAGGAGTCCAGAGAATCTTATAGTGCCGGAAAGTAAGGAAGGGTACTCAAAAAAATCCAGTGATGGGGTATTTCAAAGGGACATAGGAGTCAATTTCTAAAGAGCTCCTAATGGCCAAAACTGGAACAATTTTAATGATAAAATAAGTAAATTAGTATTGGATTATAACCCAAAGTATAAAATAAATACCCTTGAATCCAACCTGATATAAATAAATGAATGGGAGGAAAAGACGAACCTCCTGGGAAGAATTCCATATAGTTTATGTAGACACTCCAGGAGAAGCTAACTTTGCACTCTTCAGGTATGCCTTCACACAAATCCCAGTAGAGGGGCCACCTCTAAAATTACCACCTAGTATTCCTCTAAACTCTCAAGGTTGTCAAAAACAAGACAAGTCACATAAACTATTACAGCCAAGAGGAGCCTAAGGAGATATGACACGTAAATGTAATGTGGTTTCCTGGATGGGATCCCAGAACAGAAAAAGGAAATGAGGTAAAACTAAGGAAATCTGTATGAACTATGAACTTGAATTAGAAAGAATGTATTAATATTAGTTTTCAGTAATTATAAAAAATGTGCTATATTAATGCAAGGTATTAATAGGAAGAACTGCATGTGGAGTATATGGAACTCTGCACTATCTTCTCAATTTTTCTGTGAAACCAAAACTGTTGTAAAAATCAATGCATACTAAACAAGTGAAAGCACTGCTTGAAGGTCTCACAGTAATCCAGTGGTTTCTGTCTCTCCTGCAGTTTCGAGAGTGTTTGCTGCCTTGCCGACTCTCCCTCTCTCTCAGACGTCACTTTTGATGGCAATCCAATAGCTCAAGAGTCATGGTACAAACACACTATCCTTCAGAATATGATGCAGCTGCGCCAACTAGATATGAAGAGAATCACAGTGAGAGCTCTTTAAAAAATGCTTACCGTACTGTTTGTTTTTGCATGGGTTAGGAGATTGGGTGCATATTTTTTCTTGACATGCTTTTTAATTTTAATGAACTCTGGATTACTAGGACTGTATACTTAAAAGCTTTAATTACAGATTTTTGTACTACCCGTCCCCTATTCCCAAGTTCATTAAACAGGGCTTTTAAAATTCCTAGCCTCCTGTTTAATCATTATGCTTGTTTTTCATTCTTTCTTAACAACCAGCTAATAATTTACTTTAGAATGGTTAAGACTTCGTTAATAAATTTCATAGTGTAATAGTTAAGAATATGGGTGCTAGAGCCAGACTGCTTGATACTGAATCCTGGCCTCCCCATTTTCTAGCCATATAATGTTTGGCAATTTACATAATCTTTCTATATCTGATTTTCCTCAAGTGTGGATCCTTATTATATTATGTCATAGGACTGTTGTTTTACCAATGGGTTTCAGCCCCAGGCAAGTTCACTATGGATTCAGTGAGACCAAGGAATGAAAATGGAACGTTCTTGGGGTAAAAGGGTTTATTACCTGGCTTTATTCCCCAGGGATAAGTCTAGCAGTAGAATCACATTTGCATCCAACAGTCTGCAGGTCTGTAATCCTCCTCATCTCTGCCTCTACCCAGAGCACTGGGCAGAGCTCTTCATACAGTGATTCAGTCAATAACAGCTATTGCCTACGGGTGTGGGAGCAGCAGCCTAGCAGTTGGGCAGTTCCATCACCAAGTAGTTTAGGGTCAGGTGAGGATCCCGGCCAGAGGAACTGCCATTTTCCCCACAATTGTCAACATAATATCAAGTATATTAAGCCTTAGAACAGTGTGAGCCTCCTGAGACGCATCGGATGGAACTGCTTATGATTGATGCCATACTTTTCAAAATAGCCATCTTTTTTATTTTTTAATTAATTCTGTCGCCATGCTAGATATTTTCTACACTTAGATATTTTGATATGGCTCCTGTTCTTAGTGAAATGCTTCATATGATAACCCTGCTTTGAGGTGTACAATGCACGTTAACATATTATAGGCTCCAAGAAGTTCTGTAATAAAAAAGCTTGCCTTAATTCGGTTCACTGCACCCCAAATTATTTGAATATTTTACTACCTCAGAAATTACCTGTTAAAGATATCAGTTAAATAATCTCTGACCTAGAAAAAATCCTAAAATTCCACCTGTTATTTCTATACTCTGCTCATGTTGATGTGAATTTTGAGTAATGAGCTAGGTCTGTTCAATTGCCAATTAACTCATTGCCTGTACACAAGTTTCACAATGCGGATAGTTTTAATTTCTATCTCAGCAATATTATGGACATCTAAGGTTGCTACCAGATAGTTAACAGTGTTGATGAATTCATGAATACTAGGGATATTCTAAGGTTCTGCCTATCTCTTTGTTTCAACTTGGGAATATGGTTCTTTGTCCTATCAGTTTGTTCAGATCTATACTGTCAACACTGTTTACTACATTTACCATATCTCCATGTCTGTTTTTTTATTAAGGTATCATTGATATACACTCTTATGAAGGTTTCACATTAAAAACAACGTGGTTACTACATTCACCCATATTATCGAGTCACCCCCATGCCCCATTGAAGTCACTGTCCATCAGTGTAGTAAGATGCCACAGTCACTGCTTGTCTTCTATGTGCTACACTGTCTTTCCCATGATCCCCTCCATACCATGTTTACTAATCATAATACCCCTCAATTCCCTTCTCCCCACCCACCCTCCCCTTTGGTAACTGCTAGTCCCTTCTTGGAGTCTGTGAGTCTGGTGCTGTTTTGTTCCTTCAGTTTTGCTTCATTGTTATACTCCACAAATGAGGGAAATTATTTGGTATTTGTCTTTCTCTGCCTGACTTATTTCACTGAGCATAATACCCTCTAGCTCCATTCATGTTGTTGCAAATGGTAGGATTTGTTTCTTTCTTATGGCTGAATAGTATTCCATTGGGTCTATGTACCACATCTTCTTTATCCATTAATGTACTGATGGACACACTTAGGTTGCTTCCATTTTTTGGCTATTGTAAATAGTGCTGCAGTAAACAAAGGGGTGCATATGTCTTTTTGACTCTGAGAACTTGTATTCTTTGGGTAAATTCCTAGGAGTGGAATTCCTGGGTAAACAGTATTTCTATTTTTAGTGTTTTTAGGAACCACCATATGTTTTCCACAATGGTTGAACTAGCTTACATTCCTACCAGCAGTGTAGGAGGGTTCCCCTTTCTCCATATTCTTGTCAGCATTTGTTCTTCCCAGTCTTTTCGATTTTGGCCATCCTAACTGGTGTGAGGTGATATCTCATTGTGGTTTTAATTTGCATTTCCCTGACAATTAGCAATGTGAAGCATTTTCACATGCCTATTGGCCATCTGAATTTCCTCTATGAAGAATTGTCTGTTCATATCCTCCGCCCATTTTTTTATAAGGTTATTTGCTTTTTGGTTGTTGAGGTATGTGAGTCCTTTATATATTTTGGATGATAACCTCTTGTCAGATATGTCATTCATGAATATATTCTCCCATACTGTAGGATGCCTTTTTGTTCTGCTTATGCTATCCTTTGCTGTACAGAAGCTTTTTAGCTTGATGTAGTCCCACTTGTTCATTTTTGCTTTTGTTTCCCTTGCCCAAGGAGATGTTTTCAGGAAAAATTTGCTCATGTTTCTATTCAAGAGATTTTTGCATATGTTGTCTTCTAAGAGTTTTATGGTTTCATAGTTTACATTCAGGTCTTTGATCCATTTCAAGTTTATATTTGTGCATGGAGTTAGACAATGATCCAGTTTCACTCTCTTGCATGTAGCTGTCCAGTTTTCCAACACCAGTTGTTGAAGAGGCTGTCATTTTCTCATTGTATGTCCATGGCTCCTTTATCATATATTAATTGGCCATATATGGTTGGGTTTATATCTGGGCTCTCTAGTCTGTTCCATTGGTCTATGGTTCTGTTCTTGTGCCAGTACCAAATTGTCTTGATTACTGTCGTTGTGCAGTAGAGCTTGAAGTCAGGGAGCATAATGCCCCCAGCTTTATTCTTCCTTCTCAAGATTGCAGTGGGTATTCGGGGCCTTTTGTGGTTCCATATAAATTTTAGAACTATTTGTTCTAGTTCGTTTAAGAATGCTGTTGGTATTTTGATAGGGATTGCACTGAATATTGCTTTAGGCAGGATGGCCATTTTGACTATATTAATTCTTCCTGTCCATGATTCTTCCTGTCCATGAGCATGGAATGTATTTCCATTTATTCATATCTTCTTTAATTTTTTTCATGAATGTCTTGTAGTTTTCAGAGTATAGGTCTTTAACTTCCTTAATTAGGTTTATCACTAGGTATTTTATTCTTTTTGATGCAATTGTGAATGGAATTGTTTTCCTGATTTCTCTTTCTGATAGTTCATTGTTAGTGTATAGGAATACAACTGATTTCTGTATATTACATTTGTATCCTGCAACTTTGCTGAATTCAGATATTAGACATAGTAGTTTTGGAGTGGATTCTTTAGGGTTTTTTATGTACAATATCATGCCATCTGCAAACAGTGACAGTTTGACTTCTTCCTTACCAATCTGGATGCCTTTTATTTCTTTGTGTTGTCTGATTGCTGTGGCTAGACCTCCCGAACTATGTTGAATAAAAGTGTGGGGAGTGGGCACCTTGTCTTGTTCCTGATCTTAAAGGAAAACTTTTCAGCTTCTTGCTGTTAAGTATGATGTTGGCTGTAAGTTTGTCATTTATGGCCTTTATTATGTTGAGATACTTGCCCTCCATACCCATTTTGTTGAGAGTTTTTATCATGAATGGATGTTGAATTTTGTTGAGTGCTTTTTCAGCATCTATGGATATGATCATGTGGTTTTTCTCCTTTTTGTTGATGGTGTAGATGATGTTGATGGGTTTTCAAATATTCTACAATCCTTGCATCCCTGGAATAAATCCTACTTGATCATAATGAATAATCTTTTTGATGTGTTTTTGAATTCAGTTTGCTAACATTTTGTTGAGTATTTTTGCATCTATGTTCATCAGGGACATTGGTCTTTAATTTTCTTTTTTTGCGGTGCCTTTGCCTGGTTTTGGTATTAGAGTGATGCTAGCCTCATAGAATGAGTTTGGAAGTATTCCCTCTTCTTCTACTTTTTGGAAAACTTTAAGGAGAATGGGTATTAGGTCTTCACTCAATGTTTGATAAAATTCAGCAATGAAACCATCTGGTCCAGGGATTTTGTTCTTAGGTAGTTTTTTGATTACCAACTCAATTTCATTGCTGGTAATCAGTCTGCTCCGATTTTCTGTTTCTTCCTGGGTAAGTGTTGGAAGGTTTTACTCTTCTAGAAAGTTGTCCATATCTTCTGGGTTATCTGATTTGTTCCCATATAATTTTTCATAGTATTCTCTAATAATTCTTTGTATTTCTGTGGTATCCTCAGTGATTTTTCCTTTCTCATTTCTGATTCTGTTTATGTGTGTAGACTCTCTTTTTCTTGATAAGTCTGGCTAGGGGGTTATCTATTTTGTTTATTTTCTCAAAGAATCAGCTCTTGCTTTCATTGATTCTTTCTATTGTTTTATTCTTCTCAATTTTTTAAATTTCTGCTCTAATCTCTATTATGTCCCTCCTTCTACTGATTTTGGGCCTCATTTGTTCTTCTTTTTCTAGTTCCATTAATTGTGAATTTAGATTTTTCATATGGGATTGTTCTTCTTGCCTGAGGTAGGCCTGTATTGCAATATACTTCCCTCTTAGCATGGCCTTCACTGTGTTCCACAGATTTTCATGGTGTTGAATTATTGTTGTCATTTGTCTCCATATATTGTTTGATCTCTGTATTTATTTGGTCATTAATCCATTGATTATTTAGGAGCATGTTGTTAAGCCTCCATGTGTTTGTGGGCTTTTTTGTTTTTTTTGCATGATGTATTTCTAGTTTCATACCTTTGTGATCTGAGAAGCT